GGCTGGATTCGAACCCGCCAGCTCAGGTGTATGTGGCTGGTGCCTTAGCCATTTGAGCCACAGGTACTGAGCCAACACCTGGCTATTTTTTGTTGCAGTTTGGCTGGGGCCAGGTTCAAACTCGGTATATGGGGCTGGCACCCTACTCACCGAGCCACAGGCACTGCCCCAGTATGTTTTATTTTTTCTAAAGATTCATGTAAAAGTCATTATGTTCTAATTTTTGTTTTTGTTGTGAACTTTAACATATCTACTATAACATTAAGGAGCTACATCTATATTATTATTAAGAAAAGGAATTTGTGTATTATGGGGGTGCGTGCTCACAAATCATTTTGAGGACAGAGTCTCACTTTGTTGGTAGAGTCTGTGGCATCATAGCTCACAGCAACCTCAAACTCCAACCCTGTTGCTTTTATTGCTCAGCATCATATTAATTTTTCTTGGTTTTTCTTTCTTATGAGGTGATTCCTCGAATAATTCTTTCATAAAGTATCTATTAATGGTAAACTATGAGTCTTTTTATATTGGAAAAAATATTTAAAACCACAGCAAACAGGCATGGCTAGTCCCCACCACAGACACCTGCTGAAATGGGCTCCCAGGCCATCTCTACCTTTAGTTAGGGGCCAGAGCCTCTAGGCAGTCCCCAAAATCAAGAATGACAACAATTAAGTCTGGTCAGGACTTGAGGGTTGGGATTATAGCGCTATCCTTTACGTGCTCAGCTGAAAAGAGCCTGACTCAGTCCACCTGGATGATGGGTCTGGGGAGGACAGAAAAGCATATCTATCCCCAAATGTCCATCATCCTGACGAGTCCGCAGCTCCACCCACTCCCAGAGATTGTCACAGAGAGGACACAGTCTAATCATTACAAAATCACTCATGAAACACAAACTTTATTTTGAAATCTCAGAATATGGCAAGGAAATAACCATAATGACAACAGTGTGCTTTTGTGTGTTCAATTATCTTCAGATGCGTGATCTCATCGGGACCTCACAGCTACCCTGAAAGGGGGGCAGGGCAGGTAAGCGCAGGTCCACGTTAGAGGGGATTTGTCGGAGGTGCCCCAGCTTCCATATGGGCTGTACACATTCCTCTTTGGTTATCTCTCAGCTCCTGATCCAGGCTCTTTAAAACCCCAGGTGTGCAGGGTTGCCACTGAACACAGGTAGATACCTTAACTTCCCCTGTCTAAAATAGTCTAAAATGAAAACCACGGATGTTATCAACATAAATGGAGTGAAGGGAATAAAAAGTATGTTTAGCTATAAAATGAGGGGTTAGGCTACCTCCTCCCTCAACAAAGCATCACATCAGATGGATAGTTCTGGCATGGGCAGGAAAAGGAGTTTCTTTTTTTCTTTTCTTTCTTTTTTTTTTTTTTAACAGAGCCTCAAGCTGTCACCCTGGGTAGAGTACAATGGCATCATGGCTCACAGCAACCTCCAACTCCTGGACTCAAGAGATTCCGCCTCCCAAGTAGCTGGACTCCTGCCTCCACCTCCCAAGTAGCTGGGATTACAGACACCTGCCACAACACCTGGCTATTTTTTGGTTGCAGCCATTGTTGTTTGGCAGGCCCGGGCTGGATTTGAACCCGCCCAGCTCAGGTGTATGTGGTTGTCGCCTTAGCCACTTGAGCCACAGGAGTTTCTTCTTGCTCCACTGGCCAAATCTGTGTTGGACAAAGCATGGGGGAAGCAGCCACTGCCCATCCTTGCCTTCCTCTCTCTGCTGCTGACTCCTCTCTCCACGAGTGGGCACAGACGTAGGCCCAGCCTGCCGCCCACACCATGAAGCCTTCTCCTCTCATGAGTCTACGCTGGTCCTCAGAGCAGGGGAGACTCATGCAGGGGCCAGGGCCTCAATCTGCCAGCGACACAAGGGACACTTGGCCGTGTCCTTGAAGACTTTCCAGGCACAGTAGCTGCAGAAGTGCTTGTGGCCACAGGGGACAAGGCGGGTGTTGGCAACATGGTGGAAGCAGACAGTACATTCCTCTCCTGATGCGGCTGGGAAGGGGGACAACATAGGTCAGGGCATGTGGGGACAAGGGATGGGCAGCCTACTTCTGATATAATCACAGAACAGAGAACTAGGAAGTAATATTTTGAAGGATATTACTTCATAAGAAATACTTACAATGTGATCAAGTGAAAAAAAACTGGGAAGAAAACCATAATGTACATATATACTTATCAAATTCCAATTTAGAGAAAAAGGAAGCTTACGCTGTCTCTAAAATAAAATGAAAGAAAGGGAAGGAGCGAGGGAAAACAAAGTACAAACAATCCCCCATATATACATGCGTATATATCTATGACTAAAAAGTACTGGGAGGAAATCAACACAAAAGGTAACGGGTGATTTTTAATTTTTACTTCTTCTTTATCCTTTAATAATCCTTTAATATTTATTTCTACTTGGCAAAGCCTTTACAATGAATGTAGATTGCTTTTTTTTTTTTTTTTTGAGACAGAGCCTCAAGCTGTCCCCCTGGATAGAGTGCAATGGCATTACAGCTTACAGCAACCTCCAACTCCTGGGCTCAAGCGATTCTCCTGCCTCCGCCTCCCAAGTAGCTGGGACCACAGGCGCCCGCCACAACGCCCGGCTATTTTTTGGTTGCAGCCGTCATTGTTGTTTGGCGGGTCTGGGCTGGGGATTTGAACCCACCACCTTAGGTGTACGTGGCTGGCGCCTTAGCCGGTTGAGCTATAGGCGCCGAGCCTAGATTGCTTTTTTTTAAGCAAGAACAAAATAACATTATCTGCTCATGATAAGCACACGATGTTACGTATACTTAGCCAATGTTCTGAAAGGCAGAACTATTAAATTGGTTTTAGTTTTCTAGTAGGCAGAGCTGAATCCCAAGGCCCACAGGAGACTGGACTAAGTGACCAGGGCTCAAGCAAACTCCCACACACACCCCCAGGTGCCAGAGTCCTGGGGACACCCCGTGCTTGGAGAAGCCACTCACCTTCACACTCAAGTGCTTCCTCGTTGCTGAGGACACAAGACACAGTTGTGGGGAACTGGCTGGCTGTGGGATCTAAGGCAGAGGAAAGAAGTTCAAGGCCAGGAGAGCAAACCCAGGTGCTCCCATCAGGCCCAGGCCCCGAAGCAAAGTGCCCCTCTCCTTTGTTTTCTGGGTTACAATCCTGGAGCTACCTACTGATTTTAAGATTCTGTCCTGGGCCATCCCTTCCCCAGCTTAACCCAGCTCAGGGAATTCCTGGGTGCTGAATGATTCCTTCTAAATTGTCCTTCCTCTAAGCCCGTCTTCTTTGCTGTGATGCTACTGCCTGAGTGCAGACCCTCAGCAAGAAGCATGAGAAGTACGTTTCCAAACCCAGATGTGCATCAGTATCCCTCAGGAGGCAGGAGAACACAGGTGCTAGGCCTGCTCCAGACCTGTCAAATCAGGTGCTCCAAGGTATGAGGCTCCAGATGCAGTGGCAGATGGTTTTAAAAAACAAATTCAGTGGGAGCAGGGATGGACCACCGGTAATGGGGGGGTAGGGGGACTCTTCTTTTTTTCTTATCTTTTTTGATCGTACACTGCAGTGGCATGATCATAGCTCATTGCAGCATTAAACTTCTGGCCTCAAGAGATCCTCCCACCTCAGCCTCTAAAGTAGCTGAGGGTATTACCCGTCTCTGTGTTCCCCTGAAATCCACTCTGCAGTTGCCAGAGGGGCAGTTCTGATTTCTTTACCCCTGCAGGCAGTATCTTTTCACACCTGTAGCCCAGGCATTTAATGTTTTCTTTGCTTGCCATCTTTCTCTCTCAGGAACTCCCCCTTAAACTGCAAAGCCTGCCCAAATATTTATTTCTGAAATGTAATCAGCCCTTTGACAGATGTTTGGAGTGCTAGTCATATCTCCTTATTCTTTTTTTTTTTTTTTTTTGCAGTTTTTGGCCGGGGCTGGGTTTGAACCCGCAACATCTGGTATATGGGGCCAGCGCCCTACTCCTTTGAGCCACAGGCACCACCCATATCGTCTTATTCTTTCTTTTTTTTCTTT